TGGAGATGAAGACGAAGATTCAGACGATGATGCTGCTTTTGGGAAATGAGAGGGAAACTACAATACTTTATCAGTGAGAGAAAATCGTAGAATATTAGGTCAGGTGACGAAAAGTTTATATATTTTCCCAGAGTTCAATACAACGACGTTGTTATTACAAAATCGCCGTATTATTTAGTTATAACGACGGTATATAATTCATAACTGACGTGGTTATCACAACTGCCGAACGACCTTTGGAATTCCGATGTGGTTATGACGGCGCTTTTTTTTATCTAAACTGACGTTGTAATTAGAAATTCAACGACTGTTTATTTTAATAAACCGACGTGGTTACTTTGGGGTTCTGAAAACGACGTCGTTCTCTTTTTAGTACGCGCCAAATGACTTTTGGATTTCCGATGTAGTTATGACGGCGCTTGTTTATCTAAACTGACGTTGATTATTCAAATATGACGTCGCTATGTATATTAGAACCGACGTGGATATTTACGATAATTTGTTTAAATATGATTTTTTCACGCGTTTTTTAACTCTCAGTTTTCAATTAGGGTTGCAGAACGATTCCTCACAAGAAATTGTCTTTCTGAAAGCAAATGGGTTTGCAGAATGATTCCTCACAAGACCAAGCATGGGTTTGCTACATCCTCCTGTGTAGCAAGGGTGGAACCAGCTTTAGAACCTGCATGGGTTTGCAGCCGCACTCAGGTGGTGGTGGCTGTAGTGGGTTCCTGATGCTCCTTATGATAAGATAAAGCCCTAAACACTCGCAGAGACGGACTCAGGTGGTGGCTATAGTGGGTTCCTCCCAAATCAGAGAAAAGTCTATTCATTCTGAACCTCAAGCCCACTCCCAGCTTCTTCCCAACTTCTTCCCAGCCCCAACTCTCCCCACCCCAAAGGCACAACCCACAACAGGTTCTAAGGCTGGTTCCACCCTTGCTACACAGGAGTTTTGAAGTTGATCACTGTGGAAAAGGGGACTACAATGTAACCAGGAATCGAGGAGTGAGCTTTTCACACTTTGTTGATTTTATTTTCTGAAATTATTAGATATTCATCTGTGGCTGTGCAGGAGCTTGAGAACAAGAGGAAGGAGAGGGCCCAGCTTGCATATGAGAGGAAGAAAGAAACCACGATGTATTTGCCAAATTTGTGTACATATATTGTGTAAATATTGATCAATATTTAACACGAAGAGATTTGCCTTTTAAGATGAAAATGTTGTTGAGGATTGAGAATTAATTTTTTTTTTGTGTTAAGAAAGATATTACCAAAATAAGAGAAAAATTAATTAATTTTAAAAAGCTATAAAAATAAGACGGCAGTTTACAGAGAAGGCAGACGTATAAACTGAAAAAATACGACGGTAATTTGAACTTAGGACGTGGTAAATAAACACGACAGTAGTGTTGTAGGTACCGTCGTAGTATACTCCAAAATAATAAGTCGATAAATTAATCTCTCGCGTCATGGTATATTATTTAACACGTCGTTTTTT